ATTTTTCCTACAGTTCGCGACAGTGTCTCTAGATGTGCATGCAATACTGTAAATACGATTAGTCAGTAGCTAGTCGACTGTGTCATGCTGTGCGAACAGATTTGTGTAAGGCTTCTAGGTTTTAATGTTCCCAGTGAAAGGGCTTTGAGAGCAATGTTTCTGTGCGAAGTGTTTATGGTATTGATTTTATTTCAGAGAGGATCAAGATGTCCCTGAAACCTGATGACACATGGGGCCATCTGAACCATCTTACCGCAGAGTACATCAAAGGAAACACAGAAGACCTTCCACTCTCAAAAGTGTCTTCTAAATCGTCGATTTCCTGGAAAGGGTAGGATAATCCCAGTTAGGTGACCTTTAGGCAAGTATAAAGTAGGCACCCAGTTTCAGCCCAAGTTCACTTTTTGTCCGCATCGGAGTATTTGGCTCAGACTGGCAAAGTCTACCATCAGTCCATAATACTTAGAACGCCATTGGCCTATAATTTATACATATAGAGAAGTTAAAGGTCACATGCAACGCAAAACAACACAACTTTGCTGCAGATTCTGATACCTTTCAGTATGGACTTACAGAAACAATAATCAAAAATCAATTTCAACTTCTAAAGTTGAAAAATAACGCGATGAAAACCCCCGAATCGGAGTTCAAACGTGATTCACCAATTCCCCACCGCAGCGCTGGGGTGAAAAGTGGTTTCAACAGCTATGCTGCGCTGCGCTCATAACGCATGCACAGTGAATACGCCATAAACAAAGAACCGGCTGAGCGTATCGGCAAATGAACTAGCCAGTGAAAGGAGACTTCGTTACACTTGAGTGCTCGCCAACCCGCTCTGACTGGTTCGTTCGGTATCCCGGGTGCTTCGTTTCGAGCGTAGTAAACCCAAATTACAAATTATTGCACTTTGTTTTGCGATTGTACGCTTATAATTGTGTTTTCTATCTGTTTTTTCACTAATCAGCAATGCATATTATATATCATGAATACGTGATAATTGTGTTTTAATTATGTTTGTATTTTGGTTGCATGTGACCTATAAGATATATTTATATAACGGAATATACATCAATAACCATGACAACTGTCAGAAACATATCCCGTCGTTGTGTTAGTGCATGCTTTATGAGGATCTCATATAATGCAGAATGAAATACGACAATTATTGTTCAGTATTTTTAGTCTTCATTAAAAAAGTACACTTTACACAAGTGAGGATAAAGATTCGTTCTTGAACTGGCTTCAACATAAAATGGTAACAAAAAAATACATCAAGGTGGTATTTATCTCTTTCCGTATAAAAATCAAACATACATTTGACAGATTCCCGCCTTCTCTTTGAATTCATGGTAATCTATCTAATCTCAATAAGGAAATCGTGTGAGAACTTGCCACCAGGACACTTCGAATTTTTGCACGTGTTTTTAAAGCAAATGGTGCTGTCTGTTAAATATAGTAGACACTGGAGAAGACACCACTTTGTTCAATCTATAAAGCACAAGACCTCGATGATTTAATCAACTTGTTAATTTACACGGTGTCGAGTTACACTTACAACCACGATCATAGAGTAGCAACTCTTTGTTACAGGTACATTTTAATATTGAATTTGTTATCTTAAGTAATTTCTTACTACTATTCATTAAACTGAGCATATTTGTATCATATTAACACTCAGATACTTCTTACAAGCATAACCTGTTATGTGTGTTATATTAACACCTGAGATAGTTCTTACACGTATATAAATGAATCGTTTCAAAGCTTCATTTTTCTGAATCCCTATATTTTGGATCATAATTGGGCTGATATCATTTGGAAAAACATATTACGTTTCCTAATTGCTTGTATGTTTTTAAAGAATCGCCATGGAATTTTCATATCTTGTCAAGCAAACCTTGTTAACATGCACAAGGAATGAAAATCGTTCTTGGTAGACACCAAAATAGTTATGACATCTGCAACCCGATAATCCGATTAACGCAATAACCAAACGATTGCTGGCTATAACAAATCTTGTTTACTATGTAAACTCATAAACTGTTGATTCATTAATCCGGTGCTTCACTCTCGTATCCGGACGTTAATTAGCGGGTACGGATTAGCTAATTACACTTGGTTTTGCTTCATTAATCCGGCGATACATCAAATTGGTTCGGATGATCCCCTTACCTCGTGAACACCATGGATTCGCGCTGATCTTCATCGGCAAACTTAAATGGTAATTGATAAGTGAGATGACGCTTCTGAGTTGAACATGTCGTTAGTTTGTGATTTTAATCAATAAATAGGTCTCACTTGTGTAAACGCTGAGATCTTTGGACAAACAGATGCGATCACGTGATCTTACTTTGTGACAACGCTGCCAGTCACAATTGTGCCAATGTCAAACTGACCAACGTAAAAGTTCATTTCCTGCCTCCCAACATCACTGCCATTGGCGATTTCTTTAAACCGGAGTGAGTTTCTGAGTTTTGACTGTTATACGGCTGTAATAAAGTCATTTGATACATGTACATGTATACGTTCTTATGTTCTTGTCTCGGTATGTCAAAGGAAGTAACTCTACTGTAGTGAATTGTACACAATGGTTCGTTTCAGTAGTCCGTACGTTTCACTATCTGAACGTTTCGGATTAACGCGGCCTGACTATAATGCAAACCATAAAGGCAAATAAAATTTTATCATGCCCTATTTTGCATACGATATGTCAATATTGTTTACAATGTTCTCTAGCGTGTCCCATATGAACGTTTGATGCAAGTATGTGTTAACAAGTTATTATAGCTAAAGCACACGGTTAATTATGGTTGTTTGTTCGCATAGTGATGGTGAGTGTTTCATTTAACTATATCACAGCGTGGCACACTTTAAAAGAGCTTCACACCGTATTTATGTGGGGAATCGAACCCGGACAGCAGTGTGACGGACAATGTACCGTACACATTTACGTACCGTACACTAGTTATCTTCCGGGCTCGGATGACCCAGTCTTTCAAAGTGCTTAATGTCCATGGCAGAGTTACGTCCCTTGGGCATACCAGAAAAACCTATGATCGTGGGTTCGGATCCTCGTCAGTCCTGATTATGTGTCTAGGTATATCTGCGCCATACCCATGTTTGTGGGTTTCGGTAATCTGGTGAACCTCTAACACCTATCACTCAAGCATTCCTTCCAGGTGAAGTCGACACGCCGTGTTAGTGTTCAACGCTGGAAGAGTGTTCACTATATATCTCCAAATTATTGAGATTTTACAGCAGCTTCGGCTTCTAAATTCGCTCCTCATGAAAGATGTCTTCTGTAAACGGACGATGATTTCTTTTAACAGAATATACCGCAGCATTGCATGAGTTCTATTTTGGCAACAGACACGCAGACAACAAACCCCTCCTACACCACGAACATTGTAGGCATGTCATGTCAGACCGGTAACCGACCTTGTGAGCCATGGTGATGCTAAACGTTAGTGAAAGTGATACAATCCTTTTCAGTAAACTGCTGAAGGCAAAGTCTGTTGTACGATTCCCGCTCTACTTTGATCATGTGTTGATACCTTAGCCGAAACATGTAGATTTTGTAATAACTGTAATAATTGAAGTGAGTGAGTATTACACCACACATATTCCAGCTATATTGCGTCGGTCTGGACAATGCTGCGATCAACAGCAATCTTTTGACATGTGTCAACCAAGTCAGCGAGCCTGACCACCCGATCCCGTTAGTCGCCTCTGACGACAAGCATGGGTTGCTGAAGATCAATTCTAACCCGGACATTCACGGATTGTAAAAATAAAAGGAAGAAATTGATTGTTAACTTAAAGTTGCCTATTAGAAATTTAACTCACTCACTCACTCACGTATTGAAATCGAAGATGCCATAAGTTCCAAATGCACTGGTGTGACGTTCTATACAGGCCAGTATGAAGTATGGATAACACGCAGAGATCTCGTTGGTTGTTACATTAAATCCATTAATATGTACTCCATGTTTCATACACCGTGTTAAGAAAAAAGAGTAGTTACTGAAAATTTATAATTAATTCATTAATGCAATCCGGGCTCACATGGCTGATCACATGGTCTATCGACGGTAACAATCACAATTTCATTTTTATGACATTTCTACTTAATCTTAATATCTAGATCTCGTCATCTGTCATCAGAAGCTGGCGTTGTTGAAATAACTGATTGCAGGTGATTGTTTTAGAAATCCTTTGGAACCCTCAAGTTTACCTATCGGAAAGGATTACCTTAGATGCCAAGATAGACATAATGTGGAATATTAGGGGCACTTGTCATATGTATCCCCGACAAACGGTTTTCCTTATCGACCACAGAGTGCAAGTGAAGGCCTAACTTGAATGTTTTTGGCTGGAGTGAATGGTTAGTTCGATTGTTGTTTAACGCTGCACTCATTAGTATTCAGTAGAAGCGACAACACCCTTTCCACATTCATAAAAAATCTCTGCCAAAGCAATCTAACCTGGACCAGACAATACAATGTTCAACATAGAGAGCATCAATCTAAGCAATTTGTATACGATAACATGTGTCACACAAGTCGGCCAGATTGACCACCTGACCCCGTTAGTCGCCCATTACCACACACATGGCGATCAGGTCTAACCCGGAGCGTTACGGGTAGGTTGGAATGAAAACATGGGTCGGGAAAATTCTGTACAAGGACTATTTTTGAAGAGGTGCCTCAACAATGAACACAAACTGGCACGGACCTTCTGTTGACATCCACTAATTTAGAAGATAAAGCTACTCTGTTTTCAATTTAGCGGTCCTTTATCGTTGTTTTAAGACCGCTAAATGTAATTTAAAAACCGAACGCCTGATACACCTTATTTCCTAGCATGATTTGTGGTGTATGACACACAGTCGAACACACGCATGCAAATATGTATTACCATGCACATTCCACTGCTTACTGACCCGTTTACTGATGTTAAGTACCAAGGCATGTGACGTATTACTATACAGTATTGGTTGGACCAACCTGCTGTGGTCATGTGACAAAGTGTAACTGAAGCGTACCAGTACACAGGTAGATACTGGCGTGGTGAGGTGAGGCGTGGCATTCAGTGCTGGAGGTGGATTCGTGCAGTATTCGGTCGCATCTGGTAGGTCTGCTTTCTGTTGCTTCTGTTACACATTTTTAGGAAATGTTATCCTGGGTAATAATGATCGGTATCGGTATCGGTATCGCCTAATTTTTAAAACAGGTAAACAGAAGCACTTAGACGACCCAAACATAGTCAGGGTTGAGTGACTTTGCTTGTTAGACGAAGTAGGCATGTGGACCAGTCCATTTCAAACTTAACAGGGATGTTACCACAAAATAAGAACAAAGACAACATAAATATATTTCATCGTACATTTTTATTATTTATTATTTTACTGTACTTATTTGCATATATATCTCACACATATATAACATTCACAAATATATAGAAATATAAGTAAAAATATATAATATTCTAGCTAGTTGCACAAACATCTGCAACTTATCACCACACACACATATATACAAATAATATATATTTCATTATTCAAAAATATACATAAATATATTTTATCATATATTGACTTGTATTATAGTTGCAGCTTATTCATCTTATCACCACTTTTCACATGTAAATATCATATCACCACATCATATCAGTCATACTCTCCTAGAAGGTGGGAGACTATCTGTATAGCGCTTTGAGCGTGCCCCTCAGTGCTGCGGAATTCAGCGCATTAAAAATGCCCTTATTATCATTAATAAAGGAAATTTAAAGTAAATTCAGGGTTTTAAGACCGCCTCCGTGGTGTAGTGGTTAGAGCGTCCGCCCGGAGAGCGGAAGGTCGCGGAATCAATACCCGGTCGCGTCATACCAAAGTGTTAGAATATGGTACTTGTTGGTCCCTGCCTGGCGCTCGGCATTAATGGGTACAACAAGGACCGGTCGGAGTCAGTATACTGTGCCTGACTGCGATATTCGTGCTTAACTGTCGCATGGTATGTCAGTGAGCTAGCACTATAAAAAACAGCTTAGGTTTTGGCTAGTACAAGCAGCCACACATACACACCCATGCACGTCGTAATATGAGCGAAATATTCGTAAGTACGACGTTAATTACGCTAAATGAAATGCGGACAAATATTTCTTTAGTCCTACTTTGTTACTGGTCGTAGTCATTCAAAATCTGCTTGAGCTTAAAGAACTAATAAACTTTTGTTTTTTGTACTGTTTTAACCATTACATATGAAAGACGTGTGGTTAGTCTTAAGCGGAACACCAAATTCGTTCCTAAAACACATGTGGTTAATTAATACCGAGCGATTAAAAGTTGCCAAAAGTCGCCTGCTTCACTCTCGCCCGCCAACCCACAGGGAAGTTACGTAACTCTTTCGCCAGAACACTGCAGCGAACCGGAAGTGACGTCATGTGAGGAACGATTTTCAGTTAGTTGTACATAAAGTGTGTAACAAGCTCGTCATTTTGCTGATTTCTTGACGTCAACGAAGACATGCCGAATCGTTGCGTTGCCGTCAATTGCTCCTAGGGGTCGGGTGATGGTGTCACCATGCACTGATTTCCACCGGACCCCAGTTCGTGCTAAATGGGTTATGTTTGTGAGTGCGAAGCGAGTGTTGTGAAAGCCTGGAGCAATATCTTACTTGTGTTCAGATCGCTTCACGAAAGTTACAAAACTCAAAACTACGTACTAGTTGTAGTAAAATATGTATATGATTGATGGCCAAAAAGATTTTCCATGACACAACTTGTAACATAACGATTGTTTCCTCGGAAGCGGGGTTGTGGTCGAAGCGACAATAGATATTGTAAGTAGTATTATATTGACACCCACGAGAGAAATTGTTATGTTATAAGCTATGTCATGCAAAATCCTATTGGCCATCAATCCAATACACATATTTTACTACCAGTAGAAAGTTGTTTTGATTTTGTAACTCGGTGAAAACAAATCTAAGTAGCATTTATTCTCAGACTGGCGGATGTTCGCGACAGGACGACGCCATTTTTTAAAATCGTGAAGTCACAGGCTAAAGTCTGTTAGAATTAATGAGATTATGCTTTGTTTTCATCAATTTAGATAATCAAAACTACTTTCTACTCGTAGTGATATGCCATTCATCTGCAGCTGTTCCAAGCGATGAATTTTAACTCACGAAGTCTTGGGGGAAAATTAAACACAGTCATTTGTTGTGTTATAGTCGTTGAAGGAGAATACAAAAAATCGCAATAACTGACTTGGTTAAAGATAAAGTTATCAGAAATATGTACCTCAATTTTTAATACAAAAGTGTTATTATTTATATTTTAAACGCGAAAACAGTTTCTGTTATCTGAGTTTCGGCAATTATGCATATTTCGCTAGCAAGTCCGTGACATTTTATACTAGTGACGTCATATGTGACTAAGGTTGGCTATAATGCGTATAACCAAGCGCTACAGTAATGTAGACCGCTGTTGTTGTTTGTTTTAATTGTTTGTCGTACTTGTAATTGGTAAATGGAGTATTGTGCAGTGTGTGTTTGCATGGTGTCATCGAACAAGGGAAATAAGCATCAGGGACGAGGTAAATAGTTTGGGCGGCAGTTTTCGATCGACATAGACGTTACCGTATACCGATGATTTGGTACAATACTACTCCATATTCATTTCATAATATTCAATTAAACATCATTACATGTTACAACTTACTGTCAGTCGTAAATTTCAATATTGAATAATGCAAGTGATAAAATATATATGGCATAGCTTTGGTGAGGATACTCTAGAACTATATATTCGGTATATTATGGATGGTTGCTGAGATGTAGGACTGGACGACTTATATATCAAATACATGTACTCCAAGACCCACACTGTAAATGTTTTTATCGAAATTCTCATCTGGAAAAATTAATGCTTGACATAACTTTCTCAATTGCTTCAGTGATGGCGGGTTTCATGCAAAGACACATTGGCTGTTTTATAGGCATATGGCCCTTCACTGAATAACTGTCTATCTGTCTCATCTCTAAGGTTCAGCAGTTAACACAAGCGACAAACCCGTTCCATAATCCTTTAGATAACTGCTTGACTGCACGCTTTCAACCACTCAGGAATGAATCACAAAGAAATTACTCACTCACTCACTGAGGAAATTCGAGGTCACCCCGCCCAACCATGTCGGACGCTCAACAAATCGTTTACCATAAAATATTTTCACATTTGGTTTAATTCAGAGCCGTTTGTCATCCCCGGGGTGACGCTTGAAAATAGCACAATGTTACATGATAGTTTCTTTAACAACCTTTTCTGTGATTGATCATAAAATGTCAGATTTCACATCCTGTAGGGTACAGAGATTTCAGGACCATATGACTTATTTATGTGTTGTACATGTATCCCCATTTCGAGTTATTTGCTCATTCATCGTTCTTATTTTGCCCCAAACGGACTGCAGTACATGAGGCCGCCTCCGTGGTGCAGTGGTTAGAGCGTCCGCCCGGAGAGCGGAAGGTCGCAGGTTCGATCCCCGGTCGCGTCATACTAAAAGACGTTAAAATATGGTACTTGTTGGTCCCTGTCTGGCGCTGGGCATTAGTACAACAAGGACTGGTCTGCTCGGAGTCAACACAATGTGTCTGAGTGGGGTGTTCATGCTTCACTGCGGCATGGTATCTCAGTGGGCTAGCACTATAAAACTAGCTTAAGTCTGGGCTAGAACAAGCAGCCGCACATACACATACACGCGCATGCACGTCGTCATATGAGCGAAATATTCTCAAGCACGACGTTAAACCCAATTTCACCTCACCTCACCTCACTGCAGTACATGAAGGAGATACGGTAACTGTAGATATACTGAGATTGAACGTTTTTTGGCATGATTCTTAGTTTTTATTGTTAATATGAAGCAATTTTGGTGCATTATCTTTAAACAATGTCTGTCTATAGACACGATCACGCACTAACAACTACACTACCACAATGACAGGTGTGGATACAGGGTTTTGGAGAAGGGGTTGGGGTGGACATAAATCATGAAGTCCAAAGGTTGGGGTGAAATGCTTCTCAGGGAAAATATTTCGGGCGTGAGGGATCCGCTCCTGAATGGACATGTACACGATCACGCACTAACAAATACACCACTACGGTGGACATATACACGATCACGCACTAACAACTACACTACTACAGTTGGCATATACACGATCACGCACTAACAACTACACTACTACAGTGGGCCTTTACACGATCACGCAGTACCTACTACACTACTACAGTGGGCATATACACGATCACGCACTAACAACTGCACTACTACAGTGGGCATATACACGATCACACACTAACAACTACACTACTACAGCGGGCATACACACGATCACGCACTAACAACTACACTACTACAGTGGGCATATACACGATCACGCACTAACAACTACACTACAGTGGGCATATACACGACAACGCAGTAACAACTACACTACAGTGGGCATGTACACGATAACGCAGTAACAAGTCCTACAATTACTTGTCTCTAAATATTTTCTGCAGAAACCCAAAAATGTGAGAGGGTTTGTTTGAACAACATATGCATTATGGTCCCTGTTTAAAATGGCTACGACACGCCAGTTTGAAAATGTGTTTGAATATGTGTAAACTGAAAAAGAGGAAAGAATCGGAATAAACCCATTTTGTCCCAGCCAGCTGTCATCCAGTGTCTGGCTACCCTGCATGAAAGTTTGTAGTCATTCCCACTGACATTTCATCAAATAACATAATCAGTATATGTAAACATCATTACATAAATTGTTTGATCAAAGAGCTTGGTTTACGTGACTTATCAAATAATGCCACATATAAGGCCAGTTTGTTAAATGAGGAAGAAATCTGCCTAAACCATTTAAGGTGTACCATGTTATCAACATTTGGCTTGACATTCAACCTGAAGACATGTCCATTCCTCTTTTGTACTGGATTCCAAAACAACTTAAAAATCCGTACAAGGAGAGATTTACTGCTGGTTCCGGCAAATGTACCACCCTGTCTCAGAGATTAACCATAATCCTTTATACTATCAAACAAGGACTTTCTCGATATTCACACACACATTTCGA